TCTCAACCTGTGGGTCGCGACCCCTTTGGGGGTCAAATTACCCTTTCACAGGGGTCGCCTAAGACCATCGGCAAACATATATAATTACATACTGTTTTTGTGATTAATCACTATGCTTTAATTATGTTCAATTTGTAACAATGAAATTGGGGGTCACCACAACATGAGGAACTGTATTAAAGGGTCATGGCATTAGGAAGGTTGAGAACCACTGAACTGTCAAAGCAGCTCCTCAACTTCCACAAAAAGAAAATAATGTATTTTGATAGAGACTATATTAAAGTTTTAGAGATTTATCCAACAAAGGCCTTACTTATCTTTTGCTATATTCCAAGGTACTTTATACTTTTTGATACATTCTCACTTTATATTCTGTGTTTCTTAATCTCTCTTTCATAATTTGTTCATTTCTTTGTACATTATCCTGAAAAATTCCAGTTCGCTCACTCTTTAGCTATGTCTGATTTGCTATGAAATTTATTGAGTTTTTTATTCCAATTTGTGTTTTCCATTTTAGAGGTTCTTTTTAGTTTTATTTCAGGTTATCAGTTTTAGGGAGCTACTTTTTATGATCTTTTGTTCTACTGGTATGCTACTCTTTGTTTTTCATGTCTGATTATAGCAATACTTATATTCTTTGCTGGTTTGACTTACGCTGTTTGTTTCTACTTTTTGTTCATTTGTGTCTTGTTTATTTGTGATTTAAAAAAAAAAAACCCAACCCTATATATACTGAATTCATATTCTTTAGAATTTTATGGGAAATCTTTGATTTCTAAGTTGAAGATCCTAGAAAAGCATTTGCTTCTTTAGATACTGAGGGCATTAGCAGTCTGGGACCACTTTAAATTCTCATCTTGAGGGTTTTTTTATGACTATCAAAGTGCTAAATTAAGCTTGGCTTAATTTGGTGGGGCAATGAGTATATAAGAATAATATTTTAAAATATTTTTATCTAGTATTTTTCAAGTATATGGGTCCTTCAGGGCATCGTAGTCTACCATACTGTATGCTGTATGTGGAAGTACCTATCATAAGTTTATTTATTTATTTTTTATGTGTAGGATTTAGTCTTATATTTTATTTTTTTAATTTTTTAAAAATATATTTTATTGATTTTTTACAGAGAGGAAGGGAGAGAGATAGAGAGCTAGAAAAATCGACGAAAGAGAAACATCGATCAGCTGCCTCATGTACATCTCCCACTGGGGGTGGCCCCATGGAGGGCTAGCACATGGAAGATTGTGGCTCCCAGAGTAAGAGAGTGCAAGGGAGCATGAACAAAGCGAGAGAGAGATAATTCTTTTTTTTTTTTAATATATTTTATTGATTTTTTACAGAGAGGAAAGGAGAGAGAGATAGAGAGTCAGAAATATCGATGAGAGAGAAACATCGACCAGCTGCCTCCTGCACACTCCCCACTGGGGATGCGCCCGCAACCAAGGTACATGCCCTTGACCGGAATCGAACCCAGGACCCCCCAGTCCGCAGGCCGACGCTCTATCCACTGAGTCAAACTGGTTTCGGCTATTTTATTGATTTTTTTACAGAGAGGAAGGGAAAGGGATAGAGAGTTAGAAACATTGATGAGAGAGAGACATCGATTAGTTGCCTCCTGCACACTCCCCACTGGGGATGTGCCTGCAACCAAGGTACATACACTTGACTGGAATCGAACTTGCGACCCTTGAGTCCACAGGCCGATGCTCTATCATGTCCATTTAAAAAAAATTTTAATTTTCATAAAACATATAATATAAAATTTCCTAACTTGGTAGCTCAGTTGGTTAGAGCATCATCCCCATAGCTAAGGTTGCAGGTTTGATTCCGGTTAGGAATCAAACATTGAATGCATAAGTAAGTGGAACAACAAATCCATCTTTATCCCCCCTCCCCTCTTCTTCTCCTCTCCTCTCCCTCTAAAATCAATAAAATAAAAAGAAGCCCTGGCTGGTTCGTTCAGTGGTTAGAGCATCAGCCTGCAAAACAGGCTTCCAGGTTCAATTCCCTCTCAAAGGCAAGTATCTCACTTGCAGGCTCAGCCTAGATCGGGGTGTGAATAGGAGGCAACCAACCAATATATCTCTCTCACATCTATGTTTCATCTTGCGAAATTACCCGGTTCCTTTTCATTTACAGAGTGTGTATATATATGTATGTAAAAAGGCTAGGGGTAAAAACAGAATACCAAAATTATGTGTCTTTTAACAGTAAGATTATGAGTGATTTTTTAAAAATATATTTTATTGATTTTTTACAGAGAGGAAGGGAGAGAGACAGAGTCAGAAACATCGGTGAGAGAGAAACACCGACCAGCTGCCTCCTGCACATCTCCTACTGGGGACGTGCCCGCAACCCAGGTACATGGCCTTGACCGGAATCGAACCTGGGACCTTTCAGTCCGCAGGCCGACGCTCTATCCACTGAGCCAAACAGGTTTCGGCATGAGTGATTTTTTATTTTTGTTTTCTTATTTTGTGTGTGTTTTATAGTATTTTTAAAAAGTGATTCTTTTTAAAAAAAAAAAGATATTTTATTATTGATTTCAGAGAGAGAGATGGAGAGAGAGATAGAAACATCAATGATGAGAGAGATTCATTGATCCTCTGTGCCCCATACTGGGGATCAAGCCCGCAACTCAGGGATATGCCCTGACCAGGAATCAAACCATGACCTCCTGGTTCATAGGTTGATACTCAACCACAGAGCCATGCCAGCTGGGCTATTTTATAGTATTTTACAATAAACATAACTTGTAGCTTTGAAAAAATGGTTTTAGATAGTCAAAGTGTTATTTGGAGCAGTGTTAATTCTTTTGTGGAAAAATTTTCTTATGGCTTCAAACTTAGAAATTAAAAAGATACTAGATAACAGACCAACATACATTATTTTGTTGGTATGTGTGTGTTTTTTAAAGAAATATTCTTTCTATCCAGCTGGTGTGGCTCAGTGTTTGAACGCTGACCTATGAACCAAGAGGTCACAGTTCGATTCCTGGTCAGGGCACATGCTGAGGTTGCAGGCTTGATCCCCAGTGTGGGGCGCAGCTGATCAATGAATCTCTCTCATCATTGATGTTTCTATCTCTTCCCCTCCCCCTCCCTCTCTAAAATCAATAAAAAGTATATTTTTTAAAAAAGAAATATTCCTTCTTTCTTCAAGCTATTTAACTTGGTCTCATAATTTGTAGCAGGATTAATATGGTTATAGCCTATTTAATTACAGCTTTCATTGGAATGGCAGAAATAGCCATGATGATAATGTTGATGTATAGTTCCCTCAGTTTCCAACCTGATCCTAATGTATCTCAGTTTATGGTTTCCATATATACTTGTGCATCCCGTCTGCCTATGTAAAAGGACAGCATTTTATGTAGCTTGAGTCAAAACTGAATAACGCAGCAAATGTGTGTTTTTAAAAGGTTGCTTTGGCTCTCTCATATTTTTTTAAAATATATTTTTATTGATTTTAGAGAAGAAGGGAGAGGGAGGGAAGGGGGGGAGAGAAACATCAATGATGAGAGAGAATCATTGATCCACTGCCTCCTGCACACCCCCATCTGGAGATGGAGCCTGCAACCTGGGTATGTGCCCTTGACTGTAATAAAACCTGGGCTCTTCAGTCTGCAGGACTGTGCTCTATCCACTGAGCCAAACCGGCTAGGGCTGGCTCTCTTTATTTTAATAAAAGATCTCTAAGACAGCCCAGCTGGTATGGCTCAGTGGTTAAGTGTCAACCTATGAACCAGGAGGTCACAGTTTGATTCCCGATCAGAATACATGACAGGTTTGGGGCTCGGTCCCTGGGGGGGGGAATCAATGAATCTCTCTCATCATTGATGTTTCTCAGGTTTGGGGCTCGGTCCCTGGGTGGGGAAATCAATGAATCTCTCTCATCATTGATGTTTCTGTCTCTTTCCTTCTCCCTTCCTCTCTGAAGTCAATAAAAAAATATTTTAAAAAGATCTCTAAGATAAATTATATATGAAAAGTAAGGCACAGTAGAGTGTAATAAGATATCTCCTGTAAAAAAAGGGGAGTAAGAATATTTGCTTGACTTTATAAAGAAACTCTGGAAAACTATACAAATTCTTAAAAATACTGGTTATGGACATGGAGTTAGACATCACTATAATTTTCTGATTTTTGAGTCATGACTATATTAAAATGGCTTTTGAAAGCCAAGTACTGAGAACTTAGAAAAGAAATAAACTGATCTTATTTTTTCAGATAAAATAGGAATGTAATACCTCATGTGTACAGTAATTATTTCATTCCTTAGACCAGGAATAGGCAAACCATAGCCCAATTCTCTTTTCCCTCGTTTTTTTGTAAATAAAGTTGTATTAGAACACAGCCACACCCATTTGTATATGTGTTATCTATGACTACTCTTTCTAGCTATAATGACAGAGTTGAGTAGTTGCAACAGACATTTTATGGCCTGTACTATTAATTATCTGACTCTTAACAGAAACATTTTGCTAGCCTCCTGCCATATACCTTGTTTTTAAATATTTAGTAGAACTCATTGTTCACAATAAAATTTTTATATGGACTTCTATTAAAATATACAAGCTATACATATGAAGTGAGGTTAGGAGACAAGTTGGTTGAACCCTGCCTACTCACCTGCATCCCTCTCTTTTTTTACCCTCCATTCTCCAGCAGCTGTTTCTTGAGGGGAATTTGAGGAACCCCCGGGGTTCTAAGGAGTACAGTTTGAAAATGACTGCCTTACAACAACTCTTTGAGGTAGTAAGTCTGATATTATTTTCTATTTTAGGTATTGAGAGACTCGGCTTATAGAAGTGAGTTAGTCAAGGCTTAATAAACAACCAGAACACCAAAACAAATCCAGGGTGTTTAATTGCAGAATAAATGGTCATGTTTGCCTTTATATTCTATTTTATATTGTTATAATCATGTATTATTTGTTCTTACAAGGTGTGTTAGTGGTGATTTGACTTTTTTGTCCCCCATCTGTCTTGTTTCATATAGGTTTCTGTAAAGCAAGCTTCCTCCCTTTACTGGAATTTGCCTATACTTCTGTGCTAAGTTTTGATTTCTGTAGCATGGCTGATGTAGCCATCTTGGCTCGGCATCTCTTCATGTCAGAAGTTTTAGAAATCTGTGAAAGTGTACATAAACTAATGGAAGAGAAGCAGCTAACGGTATATAAAAAGGGTGAAGTACAAACAGTTGCATCTACCCAGGACTTACCAGAACAAAACGGAGGTACAGCACCTCCTGTGGTTAACAATGAGGGAACCACCACAACTTTACCTACTGAGCTTGGGGATTGTGAAATTGTACTGTTGGTGAATGGAGAAGTGCCAGGAACTGAGCAGCATGGAGAGCTCAGACAGCGGCCCGAGCCCCAGGTCTCCGCAGAGGCTGAAGCTGCTCTGTCACCTTCACCTGCAGGCTGTGCAACTGATTCTCACCCTGAAATGGAGTCTGTTGATTTAGTAACAAAGAACAACCAGACAGAACTAGAAACTTCAAACAGTAGAGAAGGTAGCACAGTTTCTAATATTTATCCTAAACTCTCCAAAGAGAATGTAAGCAGTGGCTCTCCAGAAAACAGTGATATGGGAAATGATACATCAAATGAGGATATTTGTGATGAAGACATTCCAGAGCATAGACAGAACCTTGGCCAATCTTTAAAAGATCAGGAAAATCTAGTTGCAAAGACAGACCTCAGCCCTGATGATGATACTTATAGAAGCAGGCTTCGACAGCGTTCTATTAATGAAGGGGGATATATTCGACTACACAAAGGAATGGAGAAAAAGCTGCAGAAACGGAAAGCCACTCCCAAGTCAGCAGTTCAACAGGTATGATGAAGAGTTGGCATTTGTAGTTTTAGCTTTAATTTGAAAGCATTCTATGGATAAACTTATGCCTATGGTGAAAATTATGGGGTGAAGGAGGATAAGTACAGGAAAGCAACTTAAACTTTTAGATAACAGTATAATAAGATATGTGAATTTACAATATTTATGATTCGTGACTTAGAAATAAAAATGATTAATATTTACTTAGATTGTGTTTTCTATCCCTTACTTAGGTAGCCCAGAAATTAGTTCAAAGAGGAAAAAAGATGAAACAGCCAAAGAGGGATGCTAAAGAGAATACTGAAGAAGAAGCATCTCATAAATGTGGGGAATGTGGAATGGTTTTTCAGAGAAGATACACGCTTATAATGCACACGCTGAAACATGAAAGATCTAGAGATTACAAATGCCCGGTAAGTATCTGGGAAACTAATTGGAGATGGTCTAACGTCAGGATAAGTGGAATCTAACTTATTGCTTAATTGTTATTCTGCCATTTGTGTTCTATGTGTTTGTCCCCCTCGTATTACTATAAGAGTCATTTTCTGATTTGTACTTGTATTTCTTTGACAAAAAATATATTTAGTGATGTACTCTACTTCCTCCTGATACCAGTGAGACAGTAAAATTATCATTTTAAAAATGTAAGTTCTTGCCCTAGCTGGTTTCGCTCAGTGGATAGAGCATTGATCTATGGACTGAAAGGTTCCGGGTTTGATTCCAGGCATGGGCACATGCCCAGATTGTGGGCTCGATTCCCAGTGTTGGGCATGCTAGATGCAGCCAATTAATGATTCTCTCTCATCATTGATGTTTCTATCTCTCCCTTTCCCTTCTTCTCTGAAATCAATAAAAATATATTTAAAGAAAAAAATAGTTTTCCAGGAGGGCACACACAGTGTCCATGGAAGGAAAAAAATAAATAAGCTCAAAGAGAATAGGAGAGGAGACCTTAGCAACTAAATTCTAGACCAGTGATGGCGAACCTTTTGAGCTCGGCGTGTCAGCATTTTGAAAAACCCTAACTTAACTCTGGTGCCGTGTCACATATAGAAATGTTTTGATATTTGCAACCATAGTAAAACAAAGATTTATATTTTTGATATTTAACAAAGAAAAATCAACCAAAAAAATGAGTTCGCGTGTCACCTCTGACACGCGTGTCATAGGTTTGCCATCTGTTCTAGACTTCCATTCAACAGATTATTTAGAAGGGCTCATTGCCAGGCTTTCAGTGGGGAAAGCTAAGAAGCACTCAAAATTGTATTTTTGATGCGGGTGTGGAAGGACTCAAGTAACACACTTACCTATTGTATTGCAGAACTTCCAAACAGCTTAGGAATTAGTATTACTAGCTACCTTAAAAGTAGAAGTGATTCTGGTTGTTAGAAAGTCTTTTTGAGAGGCAATTAAGTCCCTACCACCACTCCCTCAGACAAAGATTCATCCTTTACATTCAAGAAAAGAAAATTATAATTGCTCTGGGGAACACTGTGTATAAAGAGGGTAAAGGTACTATACCCAAAACAAGGAAAAGTAAAAGCTTGCATACTAAATATTAAGATTTTTAAAGTTGTTTTTCTCTAATCAGTTCTCAGCGTGTTAACAGTCAGGTATTTAACTTGAAAGCAAAAAGACTTCAGAGATGAGAAATCCAAAGCCCATAAACAAAAGACCTAAAGATACTTCTAACTAAAGCCTGTGGGTGACAACCCACTTCCCCACTTGCACAGAAATTCCAGTCAATCTTTTTAATATCTTATTCTGAAATGTGAATGGAAACCAGGAATAATCAGACTCATGATAAACATTTCAAGAGGAAAACAACTTTGAGGAATCCAAGACTATGCAGAGAGAAGAAAACTTAAACAAATTAAAAAAAAACCCAGACTTCCAGTGAAGATGGTAGGTAAGTGAGTTACTTGAGTCCTTCCACACCCGCGTCAAAAATACAGAACAACCATCATTCAGAACCCCCTGAAATCTAGCTGAATAGAAGTCCTACAACTAGGGATTTAAAGAAGAAGCCACCTCAAGATTGAGAGGAGGGACAGAGATGCAGAACAGGCTGGTCTCACATCCACATGTGGGAGTTTCAAATCAGGAAGGATGGCCTGGCTGGTGTGGCTCGGTTGGGAATCATCCCTGCACCAAGAGGTTTCTGGTTTGAGTCTTGGGCAGGGTACATGCCTGGGTTGTGGGCTTGACCCCTGGTAGGGGGTGTGTAGGAGGTGGCAGATCGATGTTGCTCTCCCATCAATGTTTCTCTCTTCTCCCTTCCTCTCTCTAAAAAATCAATAGCCCTAACCAGTTTGGTTCAGGGGATAGAGCTTCGGCCTGCGGACTGAAGGGGCCCAGGTTTGGTTCCGGTTAA